TTCTTAATTCTCAACAAGTTAAACTTTACAATGAGTTTGGGTTTAAACCCGAAACTATGTTTGGAAAATCAAAAAAAAACCCAGAAACTGAACCCATCGGTTTGGGATACCCCTTTACTCTGACCCTGGCTCTACCACTTCATGAACATTGTTGTAGGTTGTCTCTTAATAACCCGTCATCCTAAAAAAGTTCTAGTAGCTTTAGCCCTATTACTTGTGATGCATATAATTTGAGTGGATCAATTTGGGAAACATGGTGAGACACATAGGGTTTTCAATCCCACAATATTATTATGATAATAATTTATAATTATTAATCCTACAAAACCGACTATTTCCAAACAAATATATAGATAAATCCCATAACTTAGATATTTATTAAAACCTTACACCTATACATACCATCCTAACCGATTCTCATAAATCCTAGTCCACGATTATCAGGAAGAATCAACTCACCTTGTGAATCATTTATAGCAATGGTTGGACTACAAAGCTAGGGGCTTCCTTGGTCGGTGTAAGTCATAAAATAAATTTAATCCATCAGAGTATTTGATGAATGTGGTATCCCATTTCATCTACGTCTATGGGTTATAAGTCCACATTGGCAACGTAATTCACAAGACCATCTAGAATAATCAAGAGTTGCCATTTTACTCTGAGATATGACCATACATACTCTTTCAGTTTCCTGATCAGACCCACCATATTCGACTGTCAAAAATAATACTATATCGTACTTCGGTACATAACCCATACATCGACACCTGATAATGTCACAAAATAGAGTTCTACTATCCGTTCCTATCCCACATACCCTTAATATGATGCTACCTAATATCCAATTTTAATTGAACTTAGCATCCTTTATAAGTCTTATTTCATTATTATGCAAGACTATAATACTTGCAATTAACTTACAAAACCGTTTTCCTGTTTGTACCATATTATCGCAATATAGTATACGACTACACTTTTATCCAACTTAGCTGGAATTAATTATCCCCTTATATGTATTAATTTAAAACTAGACCAGACTATAATATAAATAGTCAACTTCCAGTACGTATTTCTTGTTAATGCAATATTATTATAACACATGGTATGACTAAGTATTCCTTTAACTTAATTTGAAGTAAATATCATGGACAAACCTTAGTTTGTAACTAGACTAGTTCAATATTCATTATTAATAAAGTATTCACGATATAGAGTATGTCTATACTATTTTCCAACTAAAGTGGATCAAAACACCCTTTATATGTCTCAGTTTAAAAACTTAGATAAGATTATAATCCTTGTAATCAACTTCCAATACTCAAGTTGTTTAGATAATACTATCCTAATTTAGTGTGTGTATTTAACACAAAATATCATGTATTTATACATTCATCTTTTAAGTAATAATACTTTGATTAAGGTTGTCATGTAACATATCGTATATACACATAAATAATCATATTTGGTTCACACATTGTATGTTTATCAAATATACATTTAACTAATATTCCAGTTAATAAGCAATTAATTCACAAATAAACTTTCAATAGATAATTAATACTTTTTAATAAATATTTTGTATTAAAATCATCTTCAAAAAGTAAATATGCACTCACCTGATATATGTGGACAACTCACATGAGAGTCATCTTTTTGACTGACACTTTTGGTTTTCCTTTTTAAACAACATAAATACGAATATTACTAAGTCTTAGTATTTGTTCGTATTTATAAAGTTTAATCGTTATAATTTTTTTATCACATTTATCAACAATCCCAAAAGAATACTAACTTATAGATGATAAAGAACAACCAGGTAAGATCATATCGGAGGTAGGATCCGTTTGGTATATAGAGATACACTGTTTGGAAAATCCACTTTAAACACCTTACAGATCTAGCCTAAACATCACTCTCGTAAGTATATCCATCAATATAACGACTAGTATTACTGATAAATCTTATTTATAAGTTAATAATAACGTTTACAAACATAAATATAAGTTATACTTAAAGTACGTTAAGCATAACTCAACTTACAGGTTGTTTAACGAAAAACCGGAAACTGCGCTGACAAAACTTCAAAATCGAAAACTTCTTTTCGTCAGACTCTCTGACATCTCAGATCCTTGCTAAAGTACTATAAAACCCAAGAATATTGGAATCAAAATGGGGGGGGGGGGTCTTTTGGAGTGAAATGTAAGGAGAAATGAGCAAATCACGTAACTTATTTATAGTCTGCTAGGGAAGACTACGCTTAGCGTAGGGATAGTGCTACGCTTAGCATAAGGATAATGCTACACTCAGCGTAGTGGTGTAGGCAGCAAACATTGAACCTGGTGCTGAAATGTGCATTAGACGCATTTAATTTTTCGAATCTTTCATACGAGCTCCATCTTTTACATTCTTTTTATCTCCATGTTCGTCTCGAAGAATACTACAACTTTCTTTTAGGTCTCAACATCTAATTCTCATTTCATTTTTGCTTTATATTTTATAAAGGCTTACACTGTTACAACTCTTGCAAAAATCATAACTTCTCATACGAACTTCGTTATCGACGTTCTTTATATCGTCGATTTCGTATTAAAGAGTACTACAACTTTTATTTTCATTGTTTCGGCTAACAATCAACCGATTTTTATTTTGATATCCATGTCGCACATTGTTTTACTATGTCGCACTCGAAACTTCGAAAAATCATAACTTCCTCATACACAGTCAGATTTAGGTGTTCTTTATATGCACACTTCTCTAATTACTATTACTAAGACTTGTGTTTAGATTACTTAGGCTAATAAGCAACCTATCTCCAATTCATATTTTGACAGACGTTGTCATGTAGGGTTGAATGCGAAACTTCGAAAAATCATAACTTTCTCATACGAAGTCAGATTTAAGCGTTCTTTATATCGAAGGGCCTGTGAATAAGACTACTGCAACTTTATTTAAGATTATTTATCATAAATAATCTTTTATTTTTAATGTTATTTTATCGTTTAACGATAATTTTTATATTAAGATTTTCTACAAATATTATACACTCCTAATATTTGTCCACATAACGTGTAAACGATAATTATTTATTAACTCGTAACGCATACGAATAACAATCATCCCATTAAGGATTTTAATTTTTTGATTAAATGCATAATTATTATTATTACACCTCAAACGTCTAGCCCGAATTTGCAGGCGGTATAGTCAGCGTTTTAGATGAGGAAGTCACCAGTTGACCCCTTCATTTCTTACAAAAGGACCTATTTGAGCCAACAAAACCAACTTTATTCCCTTAAAAGGCATGCAAATAACTTAAGAGACTAAACGGGCAAATGTGCCACACATAGTAGTGCTAATGTGTCATTTCCCCTTCTCGGAAATGGTATTCCTCTCCCTCGGAAATATTCCTAGCAAAGGCATGTGGGAAAGTCATACTTCATACAAAATACTTTCTTGGAAATTTTTAGAAAATTACAAGGAAAACCATCAGAAAGGTTTTCTTAGGAGGGTTTTTTTGAGGAAACAAAATCCCTTGGAAATTAAAGATTATACAGAACTTTTACATACACTTGCATGTAATTAAGAGGTTTAAAAGTAGTAAAAAATATATGTTAGAACTCATTTTTACATGTGTATACATTATTTTGGGTGTTCTAATGTGAAATTTTAATTAGGTCTGACAATGGAGCGAGTTTTGACTCTGATCTGATCCAAACTCTTAACAGTTATATGGGTTTGTAGCATAGTTTTGATCCGTTTACCCGTTATCGACTCGTACCCGCTAACCCTTTTATTAAAAGGGTCGGGTATGGATCATCATCGATCCGCTCCGCTTATAACCTGAATCGTATAAATTTTAGAATTATATATTTATATTTTATACTGTCTAAAGTTTACTTTTAATTCCAATTGAAAGTCCAAAGAGAAAAGGCCAAAGTTTACTTTTAATTTCAATTGAAAGTCCAAAGAGAAAAGGCCGAAGATTAAATTGTTTTTACATAGGTCTTAAGGACTCGACTTCTAGACTTTTAATCATCTACTAAGAATCATGATGTCATTTATTTGTGTTTCATCAAGCAATCACCAATTTCATTTGTATATCAACAAAGTCATTTATCAACCAGAAAAAAGTTTGTAATTGCTATTCTTTTATCAATGCAATCGACGGTCAAAAATAAATCAGAAGTTACTACAATAATGATTTTAATTCCAATTGAAAATCCTCGAGTGTAATGTGTTTTCTAAATCAACATTTGTTTTATTTGATAAATGTTATTTTAAGATTTACGAAAAATGTGTTTGATTATTTAAAAAACCTACGGGTTACGAGGCGGGTTTGGATATATGTTGATTCGGTGGATAAGGGTATGAGTTTGATTATTCAAAACCCTACCCGTTACGGAGCGGGTTTGGATCAAGATCGATTCGCTCGAAACCCGCCCCATTGTCGGGTCTAATTTTAATACCATATATGATGATGAATTTAAAGTTGCTATTTCATGGTTAATACTAAGATTGAGGTGACAAAAAGGATATCTAGTCATTTCTTCTCATCCTGATCGGTAAAAAGAGTTATCTATCTGTTTCCTATGATTCTAGTCAAGTGTACCTTGAGTATGTACCTAAAGATGGTGTATCATGTATGTTTAATTTTGTATGTCTAGCTAAAGACTATCTAAATTCTATCTATACTCATATATTTGACCAGCAACGAAAAAGCACTTTCTCTTTGGGTATCCCAAATTCACGACATATATGATTAGTAGGACAAAAAATCCAAACTACAGTTTCGGGTTTCTATCATTCTTGTTTGTTTTCCTCCATTTGAATGGCATTTTATGTACTAAAAGTCAGAGGACACTTTCTTACACTACAAATTCATGCTGGCCCATCCATTAGTATATAATAATTGTCCACCATCTAAGTGGAAGAACTGAGGTTGCATATTTTAGTGTAGGCACTGTGCACTACACATGATATGATATTAATTCATAATAGAACTGCAAACACTCATACATAGTCCTCCCTTTATATTCCAAATAGCCTACCCCCATCCCACCCCAATACCCTTCAACTTATGTTTCTGAACGTAATCAGTAAGTGTGCAATGGCTGAACAGTGCAATGAAACCTCTGTTGCAACATCTTCTTCTGCAGCAAAGTGGTGGCCGGATGTACATTCAAGTTCTCTCGGCTCCTGGACGACTGGTGGTGCTAATTTTGCAAGTAACCAGCCATGCACCAACCCTCAAGACCCTAACTCGAATTGCTCTGGTGGAGATGAAGATGTTTCTATTTCTACTTCGTTTACAACCAATGCTTCCAACAACTCTGGGCTTAGCATGGAGTCTTCCCGAGGTCTTGTAGAGAAAGCTTCCACCACCGACCTGTATGGAGAGGCGGTTTCTGATAATCATCACCTCTGGAATCAAGTTTTCATGTAAGTTATTAAACGAAAACGACTCTACACTTGATACCTAACTTCACAGCTTTTTTAAACGTAGTCAAGTGATTGTATCAGTGACTCAGCTAATAAATTAAACCAGTTTTTTATGAAATTAAAAGCAGCTGAAATAAATATACAAGGCGAAGAATTTATAAAAATCGTACAAGAGCTATCGTCCATTTACAATAATTAAATTCACTACAATATGTGCATCATGATTAAAAATTATATTATACATTCTACCATAAAAGATAAAAAGATCTTAAATCTATCGTTACAGTTTCATTTTTTATTTGGATGATTAAATCACTAAACTTCCTAAAACACTCTAACAGGTAAATTTTGCAAAATATTTACCGGTAATTGGTTACCTGATCCGTTCATATTACATGGCCTGCCAAAACCCGATATAGGTTTTTTCCTGACAACATAATTTATACATATGTAATCGAATGGTTTGCTAGGTTTGTGCTGTTTATGCAAGCAACCGGATGTACCAAAAACTACTTGTCAAGCATTTTAGTTTGTTGAGAGTCGAGAGATTTAATCATACAAAAAAATTATAAGGACTTACTTGCATAAAATTGGAAAAAATATATATGATTTTTATGAAAAGACCCTTAAAAATTAATTTATCGGTAACATGTTCATATTAATAAATTTACTCCTCAACAATTATTGCTAATGGTAATGATGGGCTCTTGATTGGTAGATAAGGGAAAACGGAATCCTTCTCGAAGAAGAGAAACCCAAAAGGTTTTTTTTAGTGGGTTCCTTTTGTTCTTTCCATTCTGCCACTTTACTTTAGCATAACCTAACATTCTCGTGTATATTTTATGTTTATCACCTCATAATATGTATAACTAAAATATGTTTGTATATTTTATATTCATTAAATTTGGCATACATATTTGTTGTGGTAGCAATGAGTAAAGTATATACACATATAGGGGCGTGGGAACTACAGGGGAACTGCAGAATATATCCACTCGGATGTTTGAACCAGCTGCTTGCGATTATTTGAAGAAGATGGACAGTGGATGGGAGTTTTCAAGCCCAACAAATCTCCACCAATTTCAAAAGAGTTTTAATGGATTCAACGATGGCCTATTTCAAAGTAAGAATCCATCTTCAGTAAGTACTTGGTCGATTGCGCCCCCAGATGTGGAAACAAATCCACAATTTGATCCATACAGCAGTCAATTTACAGCCATCAAGAACGAACACACAGATAGTACTGATATTGAACGTGGGGGGTTACTCCGGAGAGGATTAAGTAGTCATGCTATTGAATATCAAGCAGAGATCAACGACATGGTTGTTGCTGATAATAACAAGTATTATTACAATGGTATGCCGGATTTGGAATGTGCTAACGGAAGGGGTTTTGTTGATTTGGTTGCTTTTGGCAGCTCTGTAAACAAGCCACCATCAGGTATTGTGAATTTGCGGGACCAAAGGAAACCAGACATCAATAGTTCTTATCAGGCAAAGCTCTCTCTCTCTCTCTCTCTCTCTCTCTCTCTCTCTCTCTCTCTCTCTCTCTCTCTCTCTCTCTCTCTCTCACACACACACACACACACACACACACATACATATAATATACCTTAACTTTTAATATTTAAACGTGTCATCACAAAAATGGCAGCCAATAAGAGGAAGAAGCAGCACACTTACTAAAGTCAATGGAAGAGGGAATGGAGTTGCCAATGATCAAGGAAAAAGAAAGAAATCAGACGACCACTCTGGATTACTAGTAAAGAAGCCTAAGGTTGAGACATCTACAGTTTCATCAACTAAGGTATCCATCAATTTATTTTGTTTAATTGGAACCTATTATAATCTGCATTAAATTTTATATGATGATATTTTTAAAACATATTAGCTAGCTAATACATTATATGAAAAATCCAAACAAGGTTCAGCTTCCTAAAACAAAGCTTGGGGATAAAATAACAGCACTTCAGCAAATAGTATCGCCATTCGGCAAGGTACTCAAGAACACATGAAACATGATCGTCTAATTTTTCGTTGCATTACCTTTTTTTTTTCTTGCGACTGGAAATGTAACTTCCGCTTAATTTTTCAGACGGATACAGCTTCTGTATTATGGGAGGCTATTGGTTATATCAAGTGCCTACAAGAGCAAGTAGAGGTAATACCGTCTTATACAATTGATACTGCATATACGTTGTAAAATATATTTACTTAATTACCACAAAATACAAATAAAAGTAAATTTATAGTTATCGTCAACCCCACTATAAAAACTGCCGGTTATCTAATACAGTTATTACCTTTTGCAGTTATTGAGCAACCCATACATGAAGACTAATATCATCAAGGTGAGAGGAAAAAAATACTTCAGGAATTACAATCCAAATTGAGAAGCGCCTGAAAAACTAATTGCTTGTTTTGGATTTCAGGACACATGGGTGAGATTCGAAGCAACAGATCGAGGAGATACGAAGCTAGATCTTAAGAGTAGAGGTCTGTGCTTGGTTCCCACATCATGTACTCCTCAAGTGTACCATGAAAACAATGGATCAGACTATTGGACTCCAACATATAGAGGATGTTTCTATAGATAGAAGGATTTATATCTGTTTAACTTTGGATAGATAAGCTCAAGGCAACAACTTGTTTGGCTATTTAACTTTTCGCAAAGAATTTATCGTATATCAACGTCTTTGTCGTGAATTATATTAGTATATATATGGATCTATAGTTCATGTATAAAGCTAAGTAATCTAATTAACTATCTCCAAATGTATAACACATAATATGGATACACTACAAAAAAAATCATAAATAGCTACGGAAAGTTACTATGGAATCAAAATCCGTTGCTATTTTACTGCGGAATATGCTACGAAACGACTTGTCGTAGCTATTTTGCTACATAAATGGTTACGGAATTGCATTATGTTAGCTAAATCTTAAGTAGCTACGTAAAATTGTTACAGAATCTAAATTTATAGTTATTTTACTACGGAATATGTTACAAAATGATTGGTTGTAACTAATTTGCTACGGAAATGGCTACGGAATTGCATTCCGTAGCTAAATCTTGAATAGTTGCTACAGAATTAAAATCCGTAGCTAGTTTACTACAAATAATGCTACAATTTTTTTGGTTGTAGCTAGTTCTCTATGAAACTTGTTACAAAATCCATGTATGTAGCTAGTTGGCTACATAATTGGCTACGAAATAAAAATACGTAGCTAGTTAGCTATGGAATTGGGATCCGTAACTATTTTTCTAGGAAAATTTGCTACAAAATAAAATTTTGTAGCTAATCTATTATGGAACTTGTTACAAAAATGTGAATTTGCAAAATAGCTACGAAATCAAAATCCATAAGTATTTGGCTACGGAAAATTTCGTAGTCAAGTAGTTACGAAATATGTTTCCGTAGCAAAATATATAAAATTATTGAAAAAAATATATTAAAAATACACAATTATCTTTGAAAACTCAACAACAAAAATAAAATATTATTTTTAATTGTTTTGAAAATTTAATTATAATATAATTTCTACATTATAAATATCCCGTTCAAAAATATTTCGTTTTTAATATACTTTATCACTTTTCATTTAATGCCCCTTATTTTCTATTAAAGTAACAAAATCTACCTTCCACTTTCCACTTTATAGTTTTTATTTTACTGTTTTGTTTATTAATTTGTTTTATTAACTAAACTTATTTTTTGTATATATAAAATAAAACACATGGTAATTATTGTTATTTTCAACATTGTCTCTTTTTAATGAATGAGAATTTTAAAGTGCTCGACACCAAATAAAAAATGTTAAAACTTTCTTAACCATATAACAAAAAATAGTAAAGTTTAAAGTAAATACTATAGAACATTAAGGGTGTATTTTGAAAAATCTTTGCAAGTTGAGGGACAAATTAATCGATTGGACATTAAAACCCATGAATGTTGTTTGTAGAATTAATTTTATCTTGTCATTAGACCTTTATATACGAATCCTTCGTGCATATAGGAGTACCCAAAATTTTTTGACCAGTCTTATTAAGGGCAAATGGGTCAGATCACATGACCCAAATAAGTCTTCTTCCCCAAATCAGAGGTATCCGGATCAAACTTTTCAATCGCCGATCGCATTCCTCATTCCCCAAACGGTTTATCGATCGGAGCTCCTCTCACTCTCATTTGCTTTGTCGTTCGCCGCCTGCTCCGTCAACCGGTAGATTTTTCTCGATCGTCTTCATCCCTACCAGGTAACATTCTTCTCTCTTCTTTTTGCTCCATTTTCTCTTTCTATCATCCAATGACTCAAAGGATAATGATCTCTCCATTAGATTATTCAACATAAATAAGTCATAAGTTTCTTATATGCTCAAATGGTAAGAAGAATCATGCATTGTGAACGAATGACGATCTGTTTCATTCACTGCTTTACATTATTTAACCAGCGATCATACAGACCCGCACCTCATACTTGTCATCCAATTTTTGTTTTTAATTTGACAGTTACAGAGCTTAACGCATGTATCTTTTAACTTATCACTGATTCAAAACCCTAGAAATCAACTCTTAGTAGCGTTCTCCTGTTGTAAATTTATTTGTTTTGCAATCGATTATCTACTTGCAATGCAGATTGATTGAACAGTTCTTAACTTTTATGTGGTAGTGGAGAAAATCAATTGATTAAGTCAAATTGTTTGCCAATTTAGTGGTTTCACGCTTGATTGCTGAGAAAAAATATACGATTTTTGATCGACATTTACATGAACCAATTTCTAATTAGCGATGAAATTGCTCTTGATTATAGTTCCTCTGCTTGGAATATCGTATGTCTATTCGGGATTTGTGATTAGTTTGTTTGATTATAGTCTTCTGAGATCTTTTACCATGTTTAATCGTCAAATCAATGTCTCTTGGACTTGTAGCTATTTTTGTACTGCATTCATCGTTCCTGACTAGAGTCCATTTCTGTAATTTGTGAGGATACCTGTGATTTTTTACTTCTTATTTTGGGATAATTATTAGGACACCATTTGGTTCAATGCTTTTGCTAGGACTTGCTGTGTGAAAACAGTTCGCTGCTCAAAACAAGCTGAACAAGCATCCATTATCTGCAAAAAGTTTGAAAAATGGCTCATGGATTTTGACAACTGATATATAATGAAAATATGAAATATGATGAATGAGCAGAGCATGCCTTTTTTAGTGGAACACCATCCTTCTCAGGGCTAATGTCATGGATTGCCACCAATACTTCTGCTGGTGTCAGTGAGGGCCCCATATGAGCTGAACCCTGCTCACACCAACAACAAAATTTTTAGGTAAAACTATTTTCTATTCTATTATTATTATACTACTTCATCTTCAGTTATACTTAATGTGGAACCACAAAAAAATTGAAACCTGCATTATGTGGCCAGTGCTGTCTGAAACTTGTCCAATGGAAGCTGAACAAGACGTGGGAAAATAGGCAAAACCTCATTCTATTTCTATGATTTCTGCAGGGATTGTGGGAAACAAGTTTACCTCGGTATTTAAGAAATTATACGTAGCATTGAAATCCCATTCTATTTCAATATGTATATGAATCTGTTTAATTATATTTATTTAAATTCTATATATATATATATATATATATATATATATATATATATATATATATATATATATATATATATATATATTCTTAATTATTTTTGTAGGTGGATTTGATATTGCACATGCTGCTGCTAGGTAAATATCTTCTACACTTTTTCAGTTTTCTGACATTAGTTTCATCATTTAATCATGTCAAATTTTATAAACCTGATATTTTTCTACAGGGCATATGATCGGGCTGCTATAAAATTTCGTGGTGTTGATGCTGATATTAATTTCAATATAAGCGATTACGAGGACGACTTGAATCAGGTTAATTTAACTAAATTTGATGTATAATCTAAAAATTGTTTCTTATAATTAGTTGAAAATCCCAATGAATATTCTGTTAATTTATGTATATCTTATGTTACACAGATAAAAAACTTGACCAAGGAAGAGTTTGTGCATATACTTCGTCATCAAAGCACTGGATTCTCAAGAGGAAGCTCAAAGTATAGATGTGTTACCCTACACAAATGTGGTCGTTAGGAAGCTCGAATGGGCCAATTTCTTGAGAAAAAGTGAGTTTTGTCATTTAGCGAGTTGGATTTGTGAAATTAATATTGATAGAATTAATTTTTTTTGTTTAAATTTTGAAAAAAGTTGTAGATTTGTTATTTTTTCGAAAAAGTATATAAAAAAAACTCTTATCTTATATTAACTAAAAATATTGTAGAGGGGTGACGTTATTTATTGTCACACGTTTTTGGTTTGCAGATATATCTATCTTGGATTGTTCGGTAGTAAAGGATCTTCTGAAATGCATCGCGAACAATACGAGGATAATAATGCCGAGACAAAAGTCGAGATTGAGAATTTGAAGAAGTTAGTTGAGACGCAACGCGAACAATATGAGGATATTCAACAAAAAGATGAGGATGTTCAGCAAAAATATGAGGATGCTCAAAAAAAGAATGTGGAGTTTCAGCAGAAAAATGTGGATGTTCAAGCAAAGTTTGAACAACAACTTGCACAAGCAATGAATGTCATTAACACATTGAGTGAACATGTCAAAACTTTTATTAATCAATGATAGAATATGATGTATCGAATAATGTTTTACGTTAAATTTGTAGCGACTTTTGATTTTGAAATATGTATCTTTTGATGTATTGGATATTTCTTTTAGTTTCTATAGAAATACTTTGTTATTTTTGGTTTTATATTAATTGTATTTTTGTAAATTGATATAATAAGTCAAATTAAATAACCGAATTTTATAGAAAAAATGGTATGGAACGATTGTTATGGAATTGACTACAAAAAAGTTGTTACGAAATTTGCTACGGAATGATGGGCTACGGAATTTGTTATGGAACGAATGGCTACGGAATTTGCTACGGAACAATTAGTTACAGAATTTGCTATGGACCAAATGGCTGCGGAACTTGCTACGTAACAATTAGCTACGGAATTTGCTATGGACCAAATGGCTACGGAATTTGCTACGGACCAAATGGCTACGGAATTTGCTACGGAACAATTAGCTACGAAATTTGCTATGGACCAAATGGCTACGGAATTTGCTACGGAATAAAATAGATACGGAATTTGCTACAAAATTCATTGTTACGGAATTGTGATGAAAGTGTGTTGTAGTTGAAATGCTACGGATAGACGTCGTAGAAACGGCCATAGCAAAATTGCTACGGAACTATAATTTCGTAGTTAAACATTTTGTTACAAGAAATCTTACTATGGAATCTCATTGGCAAATTCCGTAGCAACTTCCGTAGTTATTTAGGTTTAGCTACAGAATTACATCATTTTGCTACGGAATTTTTCCGTGGTTAAATCGAAATTTTCTTGTAGTGATAGTTGATAGTGAAATTCATATCCTTACTTTTACTAACTTTGATTTATGTATAATCTGATGATATATAATGAGCTTAAAAATGCTTTAATATGATGAGAATTAGATGCTTTCTTCTTCGCTTGTCTCTTAAACCAACTTTTCTGTATTAATTCGCTCCACTTTGTGTTACAAAATAAAAGAATGGGTTCCCAACTGACAACATCAACTCCTTGCTTTGCGAGGATACGGGAGAGGGCT